TTTTTTAGTTTATAAAAGCATTATAATATGATATTGTGATAATCAAGTATTATTTAATGATTGAACTTTAGTAATTAGAATTAAAACTTGGTAACCATGTATGAATGCATAGACATTTTAACTGAATTTAGGACTGGTGGTTAGGGCTGGACGATATGGCCAAAATTGATATCACGATATATTTCTTAATTTCGGTCGGCACAGTTTTATAAATATCTGAAAGTACACTCTTAACATCAGTCAGTCAAGCATTATAATATGATAATCAATGTTATTTAATGATAGAACTTTTGTAATTAGAATTAAAACTTGATAACCATGTATGAATGCATATTAGTCATTTTAACTGAACTTCGGACTGGTGGTGGTGCTTTTTTGGTCATTCAGTGTTTCTGTAAAAAAAAAAAAATGGGAAAAAACTAACAATAATACTGATAAGACGATAATAATAATACGAATTCTACTAATAAGAACGGTATAAAACGCACTAAGGATTAATGAGCTGCTGGATTCATGAATATTAATCAGGTTGTGTGCGTTCGCTCGAACTGATTTGCTGAAATCAAAACAGGGACGACAATAAGTGAGCACCAGCCAATGAGATTGTCGTTTGCGCATTAGTTCCGCCCACTAACGGAAAACCCGGCAGTTCTTAAAAGCTGAAAAATTCCAAAGGAACTCAATAATACAAAATACAACAAAGAATATCGTTTACATGTAGCGTGTCAATTATGCATGTATGTAAGACTCTCTCGCTCTCTCTACTCTCACCAAAGCGACGGCGAGTCGTGCGCCGTTACACAGTTTACGGTACGTCAAATGCAGGTGCGCTGCGCATCCTTTGAGATGAACTGAAACATAGCACAGATCGCTTGATGGAGAGTGAAACTCTAAAGCGCTCAGTCAGAGTTTGGCGAGTGAAAATATATCTATGCTAAACTTATACTTAGCCTCCAACTCACACACTGGCGAAAAATAACGAAGGAGTGGCTTCACAACGACTCTGTGACTGTTCTTGAATGGCCCAGCCAGATCCCTGACTTAAACCCAATTGAGCATCTCTGGAGAGACCTAAAAATGGCTGTCCACCAACGTTTACCATCCAACCTGATAGAACTGGAGAGGATCTGCAAGGAGGAATGGCAGAGGATCGCCAAATCCAGGTGTGAAAAACTTGTTGCGTCTTTCCCAAAAAGACTCATGGCTGTATTAGATCAAATGGGTGCTTCTACTAAATACTGAGCATTTTTCAGTTTTTCTTTTTTAATAAATCTGCAAAGATGTCAACAATTCTGTGTTTTTCTGTCAATATGGGGTGCTGTGTGTACATTAATGAGGAAAAAAAATTAACTTAAATGATTTTAGCAAATGGCTGCAATATAACAAAGAGTGAAAAATTTAAGGGGGTCTGAATACTTTCCGTACCCACTGTATATATATGTAGAGGGTTGCATATTGAATTGAATTGAATTGAGAGCGAAAGAAAGAAAGAAAGAGAGAGGTCTCAATATATTAACTGATAGGCCAATATAGAAATGTTATAGCATTCATTCGTTCGTTCTACAAACAAACATACAAACAAACTAACTATTTGGTCCTAAATAAAATAATACATAAAAATTTAATAAAATATGAAATTATTAAATTTTATAAACGATTTACTTTGTAATAAGCGTCCTTAAAGTTGCTTTGAATAAGCACGTCACTTAAATGTCAAAGCAACAAAGTTCAGAGTCATTACAAAAAAATCACCATAATTGACCCCATCCTCCTTAAGCCCAAAACACACTGCACGATTTTAGCAATCCTATAAGATCACTGCATGTCACACTGTGCGACATGGATCTAATAAACTTGGCTACGATGTGTGTAGACTGTACGATGATGACACCTATTGACTCGTAGGCTACGACGCACGTTACTATAGTAGAATAAAATGTCATCAGCATGCGCTAGTGGTAAACAAAAAGAGCATGATAAATCACACTTTAGCAGTTGTATTTTTTTATGAAAAGAAAGCGGCGAAAGAGGGAGGGATAAGAGCTTGAGGTAAGCAGTTTTATGTTTTAGCTCCATGTCACGTTGATTACATGTCGCGTTTTTATTGGTTGATCAGTAAACGTGTATCGTACCAGCAAACACACTGTGAGATGATCGCACTGTATCGTAGGCTATCTTTGGTCGCAAGACCGTGACAACGGCCATCTTTGAACCTCTCTCACTGTACGACGTAGGATCACTGATTAGGAGCCACGATCACAGAAATCGCCAAGATTGTTTCATGATGCCAATCTTTCGTCTGGGACAGTCAAAAATCGTGCAGTGTGTTTAGAGCTTCAGTTACGGTTGCTATGTCCGACAAGCCATGCCTCTCTCACACTACACACCATGTTCTCACGCAGTAAAAAATACATCGCAGAGCAAAGAAATTCAGACAATAAATACCAGTTTGTGTCTCTGTAATGTGCCGTTACAGATCGCTGTATTGCCTGTATTGAACCGATCGTCTTTTCATATTTTCTTAAAGCAGAAAGACATCAATACACACAATTTTTCACATTTAAGTCCACCAAAGTTAATCTACTCTCCTGTCTGATTTGTTTGTCGGACAAGATGACGGATTCATCGTTATTATTGGTCAGATCGCCTGTCAATCAAGCTCTTTGCTAACGGTCAATTCTGCTCAGTATTAACTTCTTTAGGACCCATAAGCACTTGTTCATTCACACAGTATATGCAAATCGGTTTCAGCACACTTGTATTAATCACAGTTTTAAAATGCTCTCTCTGTTAAGCAAACAGCTAACAGTGTTCAGTGCCTGCTTAAACAGTCCAGATGACGTTACAGTGTAGCAAGCAGGTCAACATGGCCGCTGTTGAAAGCAAGTATTGTGTGTACGTAACACCCCGTCACTGGACGCTCCACCAAGAGCCGTCAACTCGAACACATTCCCAATCGGCCCCGTTCCCCAGCATTCCCTAAGGAAACCGTATCTCCTGTAGCCACGCAGAGATGTGAGGGCTACTGTTAGCGGCGTCTGAAAAAGATTGACTGTTTGGGCACTAAGTGCTCGCTGTTGACACAAGCCTCTATTTCATATGCAGCAGAGCACAGAGCGCTCGGGCTAAGTACACAGTTTGTGTTAAAGGTTGGTCCGCTCGTACTGAGAATTTCATCCGTCAAGCTCTCACCCGCAGAGTGGCTCGGGACTTTTGAAACGGAAAAACGCAAACACTCGAAAGGAGTCAAGAACAGGTTGGCAATTTTGAAAATAACATGATGAATCAGCTGCTCGATTGTTCAGAAGAGATCAGAGCACCCAATAAATAAAAAAAAAACAAGTCCTGCATTCTGATGGATGACAAGTGTACGAATTTGTGTCTCTTTTGTGTGTCTCTTGTTATCTTTGCTTCTTTTTATTGATGGGACTATAGGATCAAACCTGAAAACCCAATATATTATTACTATAATTTTTTTTATTATTATTAATAATAATGATAATAATAAAAACATAATATATTATTATATTATTATTATTAGCATTATTATTTTATACTAAATATGCTAGCAAAACAGTACTGAAAAGCCAAATATACCAGCCAAAAATCCATTGTAAAAATATCAATTTTAAAATCCTTTGATGCTGGAAATAATAATAATAATAAATTCTGTTTAATTTCTATTATTGTTTTTAATTTTATTTTTTTAATTTATGTTAGTCATGCTCATGTCATATTGTTGAATTCAAAACCGCATGATTATAAAAACCTAAAGCTATGGGGAAAAAAATAGTTGATTTATATAAAATAAATGTTAACAAACTTTTTTCAGCAAGTTGCCAGTAAATAAAAGTAAAACTGAAATGAAAATGAATATAAAACTATGTAGATATATTTAAAAACAAAAAATAAAATAAAATTGACAAAGCACCCGACAGAAATTGCTAAAACTTTAAATAAAACTAAAATGGAAAATTAAAAAATTAAAACAAATTCAAAATATTAAAAACTATAATAGTGTCTCATTTATACTAAAGGGGAAAAAAAAAAAAAAACTCTTTAATGTGTGTCTATACCAAAACTTGAAATATTGTTTTAATGGAAAAAAATAAAATAAATTACAACATGTTAATTCACTCCTCGCTCTGACCAAAGGTTCGAGCTCATTTGACTCATGTCTACATGAACGAATCAAAAAGCTTGCTCATTGCTAACCCTCATCCTACCCAGAAAACGCAAGTTAATTCTACTGTCAAAATGACCAAAATGCACATTTCTAGTGTTCATTTTCAGTAGCCAGAATCTGAAACCTTGGCAATAGCAGAGATCTTCCTGGGTTTTCTTTTTTTTTTTTTCAGAATTGCATTGAAAGCTGGAAGGCCTGCATTCATCAAAATTCGAGTATGGCAGTTGCTTATTGGGAAAACCGCCAACATATCACCAAGTCTAGGAAAAATCCACCCTGAAAAGCGCAAAACGGTTCCAATAACATCTGTATTTTCCCTACAGGTGTGGCCCCCACACTAGGGAAATAAGCTCACCTGCAAGCGGAATGCATGTAATTCAAAAACCTCGGGTGGTGTCGCGCTCCAGACATGACAGACGCCTTCTAAATTATGAGTTTTGAATGTTGCAGTAAGCCTTCGAGTTTTCATTTGCTGCTTTTTATACAGTACACTTGAATCCACTCTTGATTACAAAATTCCCTGTGTTTAGAAAGCCGCATCTGTTTTGGCCGGATTTTTCTGGTCTTGGCATTGAAACGGCAGCACTGGTCCATCCCCCGGATGCCCAGCTGATGCTGCGACACACGTTTTCTGAATAATGCGATTGACCGCCGTAAATTGCTTCCGTTCCAGGCTTCATCGCAGCAGCTGAAGTTCACGACGTCAGACTCGTGCGACCGCATCAAGGACGAGTTCCAGTTCCTTCAAGCACAATACCACAGGTACACACACACACACACACACATTTTCAGTACAGTACGCAATAGTTCACCTAAAAATGACAGTCTGTCATTTATTCACCCTCATTGTTTTAAAATTAATGTTCTTTCTTTGGCAGTGTTATTTTTGTATTGTTTATATACCGTTATGGTATTTGTTAATATATTAAATTAGCTTTTGTTTTTTATATTTCCAGTTTTCATTTTAATTGTAGTTTGTTTTATTAATTTTGCTATGTGCTTTTGTCAGATTTGTTTATTTATTTATATTTGGCTTAAATTTATTTTAATTCAAGTTTTATTTTTTGCATTTTTAGAATTTCGACTTTTTAATGTAAAATAAAAAATAGAAGCATTGCTTTTAAAACTGAAATTGAAGTTTTTCATCTAATATTTATTTCATTTACTGAAATGTTTAAAGTTTTGGTTAACAACAATAACAGTGTTCTGTGGAACACAAAAGATGTTTTGAAGAATGTGCTGGTTGCTCTTTTACAAAAGCTTCAAAAGGATTCAAAAGCATCATAAAATTGGTTCATATGAATAGTTTACTCAGTAGTTTAATAGTTTATTCAAACTCTTCTGAAATCATGTGATGGTTTTGTGCGAGGAACAGACAAAAATTTGAGTCATTTTTCAAAGATAACCTTGACTTCGAACATTTTTTTCTTTGATGCATTCATGAGAAAAATAGTCGATGTCTGGTTTGTGAATGAATCGTTATTTTGAGTCAGATCTTTTCAGTGAATTGGTTGATTTGGTTGAAAAACTGTATGAATTATTTTTTTCACAAATCTGACAGATTCAGTTCAGTTGAATTCACTCAGTGACCCGGCCATTCAGTTGGAATTGCAATGTCCCATAATTCATGAGTCTTTTTGTGTGATTCATTAATACAACCATTAATAGAGTCCTTTGTTCTGGAATCTAATTATAGTAGAAAAGAGCAACCAGCACATTACGAGTCGGAAAGTAATGACTCGTGATTCAGTGAGTGAGTTAGATAATTCAGTTACTACTCCGATTCAGTGAGTTCATTCTGTGAAGGAATCACCAGATTAATTCTAACCCCATAACTCATGAGTCTTTTTGTATGATTCAATAAAACTCACGTGATCTTGAATCCGACTATAGTAGAAAAGAGCAAACAGAAAGTTACACATCCGAAAGTAATGACTCGTGATTTATTAAGTCAAATGTTAATCAGAATCATCAGATTGATTCAGACTTGTGAGTCTTCTTGTGCGATCCCTTAAAAGAACCAGTTCATAAGAGTCATTTGCTCTGGAATCTGACTACACTATAAAAGAGAGACCAGCACATTATCAAACATTTTCATTTTGTGTTCCACAGAAGAAAGACAGCCATACGAGTTCAGAACCACATTTATTTTCGAACTGTTTCTTTATGGAGGTCCTCTACAAACCAGTGTGACTAAACTCACTATTAGCAGGCTTTTTTTTTTTCCAACAAGCTTCTAACAAGCTTCCCTAGTGCCTCATTCCCTTGCTGATTAACACGGAGCAGCTACTGTGATCTGATCCGTCTAATGCCTTGACTCCTGTAGACGGAGACGGAAGACACTTTTAAAGACACAAAGACGCTGCTACTGTCCCGTCTTTAAGGCAACATGTCTTTCCCTCCCTATTCCCATGACAACAAGCAAACCCTCATTTAACCCTGGTTCACAGAAGAATAGGCCCTGCGTTTTTCTGTGTGTGTATTCAGAGCATGGATTCGCCGCCATTGACTTCAATTGAGATTCAAAAGACAAGGGCTTTTTTGGTGCTGCGTTCAGCCTTTTAAAGGAAATGTACTGCAGGCGGTCCCCAGAGCCTCGCCGAGCTGTCGCTCCCTTCTACAAATGCATAAATAGATCAGGGAATACATAAATCAAAATAAGGATGACAGCAGGATTGCATTTTTAGAATTTCGACTTTTTAATGTAAAATAAAAAATAGAAGCATTGCTTTTAAAACTGAAATTGAAGTTTTTCATCTAATATTTATTTCATTTACTGAAATGTTTAAAGTTTTGGTTAACAACAATAACAGTGTTCTGTGGAACACAAAAGATGTTTTGAAGAATGTGCTGGTTGCTCTTTTACAAAAGCTTCAAAAGGATTCAAAAGCATCATAAAATTGGTTCATATGAATAGTTTACTCAGTAGTTTAATAGTTTATTCAAACTCTTCTGAAATCATGTGATGGTTTTGTGCGAGGAACAGACAAAAATTTGAGTCATTTTTCAAAGATAACCTTGACTTCGAACATTTTTTTCTTTGATGCATTCATGAGAAAAATAGTCGATGTCTGGTTTGTGAATGAATCGTTATTTTGAGTCAGATCTTTTCAGTGAATTGGTTGATTTGGTTGAAAAACTGTATGAATTATTTTTTTCACAAATCTGACAGATTCAGTTCAGTTGAATTCACTCAGTGACCCGGCCATTCAGTTGGAATTGCAATGTCCCATAATTCATGAGTCTTTTTGTGTGATTCATTAATACAACCATTAATAGAGTCCTTTGTTCTGGAATCTAATTATAGTAGAAAAGAGCAACCAGCACATTACGAGTCGGAAAGTAATGACTCGTGATTCAGTGAGTGAGTTAGATAATTCAGTTACTACTCCGATTCAGTGAGTTCATTCTGTGAAGGAATCACCAGATTAATTCTAACCCCATAACTCATGAGTCTTTTTGTATGATTCAATAAAACTCACGTGATCTTGAATCCGACTATAGTAGAAAAGAGCAAACAGAAAGTTACACATCCGAAAGTAATGACTCGTGATTTATTAAGTCAAATGTTAATCAGAATCATCAGATTGATTCAGACTTGTGAGTCTTCTTGTGCGATCCCTTAAAAGAACCAGTTCATAAGAGTCATTTGCTGACTACACTGACTACACTATAAAAGAGAGACCAGCACATTATCAAACATTTTCATTTTGTGTTCCACACAGCCATACGAGCCATACGAGTTCAGAACCACATTTATTTTCGAACTGTTTCTTTATGGAGGTCCTCTACAAACCAGTGTGACTAAACTC